TCATTAACTAAATTATGCATTAATCCAATCATTTATTTCCAAAAAAAAGAAAGATTGAATGCAATAAATAACATTACTGAATTACCACCTTATTTCCCCTGAATTGCTGTATTTATCTCTTAAATAATCTAAGCACAAGAGAAAGATAATGCTGGATTCATACGTTAAGTTAAATATTACCTTTAACCATGGTATGCTGAACATACCATAATGGTTGATTTTGCATATCATTTTAAATTATAAACAGTGCTATAAATTACAATGGTTGGGTTCTTGCATGAATAATGAAATTTAAAAGACAAATGCAAAATTCTTCACTTAGGAAAAAGCAACCACATATAAAGGTATAGAATGGGGGGATACTTCACTTGGTAATATGAAAAGGGCTCTTGGAATTGTAACTGATCACAAGCTGGATATCAATAAGCAGTATGATATGGCTGTGAAAAAGTCTAACACAGTCTATTCATTGATATATAGTTCCCAAATCACTGGATGTAATAATTCCACTCTAGGTGAGATCCTTTCTTGACCACTATGATCATTCCAGATGGCCACATTTTAAAGAGGTTTGAGACAAATTGGAAGAAATGTGAAGATGGGCAATGGAGACATTCACAGGTTAGACCAGTGGTTCTTAAAACTGGGAATAATTACCTTCAAGGGGTAATTTGGGCACATCCTGGGGGTAATGGAGCAATTTGTAATTGCTTGTTGGCAAGTCAAGTATCCAGTTTGGGACTGCTGCTGCAGAGATGCTTGTGTAAAACAACAGTCTGGTTTGTCTGTGGTTTTCTTTGGGGGGTAATGACTTTATTCCAGACCTGGAAAAGAGGTTATTGGGTCAAACAGTTTAAGAACTGCTGGATCTAAGTATTTTGAGGAGAGATTTGGGAAAAGAAAAGAGAGAGGGAGTAATATTGTACTCTTTACAAAAACCAGTGGGAGACATCATTAGAGATCCGCAATGGGATACCATCACCCTACTGATACTGCTGTATGCCATATAACTTCAAGAAAGTAATCTTTTGAATGTTGCCTAAATTTAATAATAGGCTGGATATGGGCTAGATATCAAAGAACAAGCCGAAATTAGACCCAGAAAAAAACTAAGGCACTGTCAGTCACCTGGAAACCAATTGTAGCTTCGTTTGGATAGGACTGCATTGTCAGAGCAGATTACTGTACAGCGTGGGAATGCTTTCATCATCAGCTCTCTCTATATACCCACGTAGAGGCTGTAGTAAGAAACATACCTACACACTTACATGTGTAAATTACATTTATGGCAACTCATTTCAATGAACCAGCCTTACTGCTTTCTGAGCATCTATATCAAGGATTCTTTGTGCAACAATTTTCTACAATTCTCTTATTGTCCAGGTACTGCTAAACATAGGCAGGAAGCCCATAACACCTAATTTGTAAGTTATACTATCCAGTTCCATTAAGCACAGTTTTGGGAGTCTATCAGTTTCCATAGAAGTAGTCTCCACCAATAATTATATTTCCTGATTTTAAAGCACAGAGTGTATATTCCCAATTCAGCTCTAACTGCAGCAGCTTTTATCTACATCCAATATAGAGTACTCCTCAAATAATATGACTGTATTTGTTCTAAGAGTAATACATGTTTTAAACCCCATTGAGTGAGCTCCTGCATTGATGAGGAAGCTGTGAACCAGCTTCAGAAAAAACTACCCCTAAGTAAGGAAAAAAATTGATTTGCTCTTATTAACTCACCATCTATATCTGGATTTATTGATAGACTATTATCATGACAATAGGAGCCATATCTGTTTATCAATCTGCACAGCCCAAATTGTGAATATGATAGTAAGATCATGTTATCAACATAAAGCAAGGTATTAAAGTGCATGTTAACTACCTTAGGCATATGTATTTCAAGGTTGTTTATCAGTCCTGGAATGTCATTAATATATAGGCTCAAAAGTATTGGTGCAAGCATATAACCCTACTTTACACCTTTCTAGTGAATTCACCTACCTGTGAATCCTAGTCATGGTTCCATTGACTCCAAACTACTCTTAGGTGGGTGTTTCTGTGGAGGGCTTTGATCAGTACAAGTAATCTGGGTTCATACTGAGGGTAGTTTCGTCCACAAAATTTCTCTATTGACAGTATCAAATCTTGCACTAAGATCTATAAAAGCAGCAAAAAATTGTTTCCCATTGCTAACATATTTAGTAATTAGATCATCAAAACAATTGTCAGTGGTAGATTGATCCTGTCTGAATGTGGATTGCTAAGCTAGAATGCACTTTTCAGCCACCCAGTTCTCAATTCTTTATAGGAGAAAGCTGGCATAATTTGGGCCACAATATCTACAGTGGGGCAAAAAAGTATTTAGTCAGCCACCAATTGTGCAAGTTCTCCCACTTAAAAAGATGAGAG